TAGTATGTTACTTAGTTCCCAAATACAACGGGAATTTTGCAGGTAACTTTTTACCGTTGATTTATTGATTGATTGATTTTTGAGATGGAGTTTCGCTCTTGTTATCCAGGCTGGAGTGCAATGGCGCGATCTCGGCTCACCGCAACCTCTGCCTCCTGGGTTCAGGCAATTCTCCTGCCTCAGCCTCCTGAGTAGCTGGGATTACAGGCACGCGCCACCATACCCAGCTAATTTTTTTGGTGTTTTTAGTAGAGACGGGGTTTCACCATGTTGACCAGGATGCTCTCGATCTCTTGACCTCGTGATCCGCCCGCCTCGGCCTCCCAAAGTGCTGGCATTACAGGCGTGAGCCACCGCACCCGGCCGAGAAAGCATTTTAAATGGTCTGTTTTCAAGGTATGATAAATCTAAGCAGTGGCAGCCAGCCTGTGACATGGCTCAAACCACATGGCTCATGCCCCTAGAAGGTCACGATAAGCCAACAGAATGTTGGGGGGCGGGTCAGCCCTTTTTTTTTGAACTGTTGAGTTGCTTGAGTGTCTTACGTATTCCGGATATCGGTCCCTTGTAGGGTGAACACTCTGTAAATACTTTCTCCCATTCAAAGGCTGTCTCCTTATTCTGTTGATAATCCCCTTGCTGTTGTGAAGAAGCTTTTTGGTTTAATATCGTCCCATTTGTCCATTTTTTATGTCATCGCCTGTGCTTTTAAGGTCTTAGCTGTAACATCTCTGCCTAGACCAATGACCTTAAGTGTTTTCTTCTAGTAGTTTTATATTTTCAGGCCTCACTTTACCTCTTTAAAGCACCTTGAGTTGCCTTTTGTAGATGGTTGGAGGTAGGAGTTTAGTTTCATTCTTAGTATATGGATGCAATTTTCCAAGCACCATTTCTCGAAGAGGGTGTCCTTTCCCCACTGTGTGTTCTGGCACCTTTGTCAGAAATCAGTTGGCTGTAACTATGTGGATTTCTTTTTATTTTTTTGAGACGGAGTTTCGCTCTTGTTACCCAGGCTGGAGTGCGATGGCGCCATCTCGGCTCACCGCAACCTCCGCCTCCTGGGTTCAGGCAATTCTCCTGCCTCAGCCTCCTGAGTAGCTGGGATTACAGGCACGCGCCACCGTGCCCAGCTAATTTTTTGTGTTTTTAGTAGAGACGGGGTTTCACCTTGTTGACCAGGATGGTCTCAATCTCTTGACCTCATGATCCACCTGCCTCAGCCTCCCAAAGTGCTGGGATTACAGCCGTGAGCCACGGTGCCCGGCCCAAGTATGTGGATTTCTGAATTCTATTCCAGTGGTCTGCATGTCTGTTTTTATATGAATGCGATGCTGTTTTGGTTATGACAGTCTTATAGTATGTTTTGAAGTTGGATAATACGATGCCTCCAGCTTTTTTCTTTCTGCTCAGGATTGCTTTGTCTATTTGGGCTCTTTTTTTTTTTTTTTTGCTCCATAAAGATTTTAGGATTGTTTTTTCTATTGCTGTGAAGAACGATGTTGGTATTTTGATAGGCATTGCACTGAATCTGTAGATTGCTCTGGGCAGTACGGTCATTTTAACAACATTCATTTTTCAGTCTGAGAGCGTGGGACCGCTCTCCATTCGTCTGCATCATCCTCAGTCTTCTCCATCAGTGTTTTGTAGTTTTCCTTGTGGAAACCTTTCCACTGATTGGCTAAGTGTATTCCTATATATTTTATTTTTTTATAGCTGTTGTAAATGGAATTATCTTTTTGATTTCTTTGTCAGCTGGTTCATTGTTGGTGTATGGAAGCACTACTGACTTTTGTATGTTGATTTTATATCATGGAACCTTCCTGAATTTATTTACCAGATCTAATGATTTTTTAGTGGAGTCTTTAGGTTTTTCTAAATGTAAGATTATATCATCTTCAGAGAGGGACAATTTGACGTATTCTTTTCCTCTTCTTTTTTTGCCTTTTATTTCTTTCTCTTGCTGATTGCTCTAGCCAGGACTTCAAGTATTACGTTGAATAGAAGTGGTGAAAGTAATTATCCATGTCTTGTTCCAGATCTTAGAGGGGAGGCTTTCAACTTTTCCCCATTTGGCATGATGTTAGCTGTGGGTTTGCCATACATGGTCCTTACTATGTTAAGATACATTCCTTCTATGCAATTTTATTGAGAGTTTTCATCATAAAGGGATGTTGAATTTTATTAAATGCTTTTTTTCTGTATCCATTGAGATGATCATGTGATTTTTGTCCTGCATTCTGTTGATGTGATTTACATCTTGATTTACATATGTCGAACCATCCTTACATTCCTGGGATAAATCCCACTTGATCATGATGTATTATCTTTTTCATGTGCTGCTGGATTCAGTTTGCTAGTATTTCATTGAGAATTTTTGTGTCTTTGTTCACCAGGGACACTGGCCTTATAGCCTTATTTTTTCTTTACATCTTTGTCTGGTTTCGGTATCAGGGTGATGCTGGCCTCGTAGAATGGGTTAGGGAGAATTCCCTCCTCTTAATTTTCTGGGAATAGTTTCAGGAGAAGTGGCATTATTTTTTCCTTTGAACATTTGGTTGAATTTGGTAGTGAAGCCGTCTGGTCCTGGACTTTTCTTAATTGGGAGACTTGATATTATAGAGTCAATCCCATTTCTTATTGTTGGGCTGTTCAGGTTTTCTCTTTCTTCCTGATTCAATCTTGGCAGGTTATATGCACCCAGGAATTTATCCATTTTCTCTAGGTTTTCCAGTTTGTTAGTGTGTATACTTATTTGATGATTATGGTTTAAGTGTAAGTGTAATCATGCAATAATTACATTAAAAAAAGCAATAATACTGGGGTGGGAAGGAAGAGTTGGGATGAGGTTGTTATTATAAAGTAATTGCATGGCTCATCAAGCAGTATAGTTTTATTTGAAAGAGGACTTTTATGTTAGTTGTAAATGTATATTGTGAACTCTAGGGTAATAAAGATATCTGTGTTGGACGTGCTCCCAGGCGTGTCCCAGCTCTCTACTGCTTTTATCTGTTTAAAAAAGTTTGAAGTTAGTAGCCAATCACATTTTAGTTTAGATTGTGGAGTCTGGCTCCAACCAACAGAGATCAGACACAGCAGTAAGGACGACCCCCATATGCGTGAGTATAAATTTACGTTTTCCTTTATTCATCATACTCTCGTGGCACGATGGCTGGCGAGGGTCCCCTTCCTGCAGTCCAGAAGGTAAAAATTGCGTTGCTGAAAGATTCTTTGTCTCAATGCTAATTTTTCTTCATGGCACAGAGCACTGGCTTCCAACAGTCAGGGTATGGATAGGAAGGATTTCTCTAGCGCTTCTCAGTAGCTTTGCATGCTGCTTCACACATCACATGCAACATTCGTATTTCAAATCGCTCCCCATAGGCGTGATTTTTAGCATGAAAATGAGGAAGGGGTAACTATAGTTGAAGTATAAGTCTAACTGCACATGTGGGGGCCCGGGGAAGTTCCTAGGCCCCTAGAGCAGGAACTTGGGGTTCACAGCTTCTTGGGTCTTGGGCTATGGATTGGCTGGAAGTTCAGCTGTCCAACTTGAGGCAGGGACTTTGTTCTTTTTCCCTAAACCACATCAAAACAGGCAGGCAGCCAGTCTGCCCCTTTCTAAAGGAGAGGCTGGTAAGCGAGACCTGAAGATGCGGCCTCTGAGATGAAAGTGAGAGAACATGTGTCCTGGACAGTGAGTGAAGCGTGGGTAGCAGGAATGACAATCCATTCTGGTCTGCTGCCTGGAGGACGAGACTGCGACTCGCCCACTAACAATTTAGAGACCCCTGATCCCCTTCCCAAGAGCTTTTAGCGGAGTTGGTTGTGTTACGGGAAAAGGGTACTGATCCAGACCCCAAAAGAGGGTTCTTGGACCTCGTGCAAGAAATAATTTGGGCCAGTCCACAGAGTAAAGTGAAAGCAAGTTTATTAAGGCAGCGAAGGAATCAAAGAATGGCTACTCCACAGACAGGCCGGGTGTTGGCAAACGCACGAGGAGGAAGGCGTCCACCTGGGTACGACCCTTGTTTATAGGTAAGAGAACAGCCAAAACATCACCGGGCTCGCGCTGCCTGACGCCTGTCCTGCCCAAGCATCTACATCATCCTCTTTAAGGCGAAACTTCAACTCAGGATGCTTTTTGTTCCTAAGAAAGCAGCACATCAGGACCCAAGTCCCGGGTCTGCTGGGTAAACCTTATTAACCTGTTCTGGTGACCATAAACGCCAGAGGCCGAGGGCAAGGCAGGCTTAAACTCGGGCTCTTCTGGCAGGGCCTCCATCCCGGTCCCGTTCACCTGGCAGCAGCACCTGCGCAGGTACCGCGCCCACCATTCGTGGCACTTGGCATCTCCCCGCTCCCCCCCACCCCCCCGCCTTATTTTTTGAGACGGAGTCTCGCTCTGTCGCCCAGGCTGGAGGGCAATGGCGCGATCTCGGCTCACTGCAACCTCCACCTCCTGGGTCCAAGCGATTCTCCTGCCTCAGCCTCCCGAGTAGCTGGGACTACGGGCGCGCGCCACCACGCCCGGCTAATTTTTGTATTTTTAGTAGAGACGTGGTTTCTCCATGTTGGCCAAGATGGTCTCGATCTTCTGACCTCGTGATCCGCCCGCCTCGGCCTCCCACAGTGCTGGGATTATTGGCGCGCGCGGCCGCGCCCGGCCTCTCTCTGGCACTTTTGACCAGAAAGGCCCTTCCTCGCGCAGGAAGCCGAGGCAAGGATCGCGCCGGAGGGGCTGTCGGGCCCCGAGCGGATCGCACGTCCGCAGCTCACCCCGCCCGAGGAGGAGCCAACGCACTGCCCAGACCGCAGCGCCGCCATGCTTGGGCCTGCGCCGACGGCGGTCATGACTGGGCATGCGCAGACGGCCGTGCCCGGAGCCATTGACCGGCCGGCTGGGCTCGGAGAGAAGCGGGTGCGCAGGCGCCGGGCGAGAGGCTGCGCTTGACCGCCCCTGGAGCGTGCGTGCGCGCGCGAGCCGGAAGGGGCGGTGCCTGGTGGCGCGGCGCCTGCGCAGTGGGGAGGGGCGCGGGGGAGGGGCGCGGCGGCTGTCAGCTGACTGTGGCGGCGGCGGCGGCGGCGGCCTCGAGGTGACAACCGTCCCCGTCGCAGGCTCCGGCGGGGGCGCAGGAGGTCGCCCGGCGCGTCATTGTCGGGTCGGCGAGGCCCAGGGCCGGCCGCAGCACCATGGCGACCACCGTCAGCACTCAGCGCGGGCCGGTGAGGCCGCAGGGCTAGGGTCGGGCGGGGGCGGCCACCTGCGGCGGGCGGGGCCTCGGGCCGGGGCTTCTGGTCAGCGACGGCGGGCAGGAGGGCTCCTTGGCTCTCCCAGGGCACGCTGGGCGCCCGGCCGGCCGGAGGGGAGCGGCGGCGTCGTCACTCGGGGCGGGGCGGGCCGGACGGATGCGCCCGCGCTGCGGGACGCTCGAACTCCCCGTCGCGCCCGGGCAGAGCGTTGGGGAGGCGGCCCCAGGTGAGGGGGCCTGCGCGCGGGGTGAGCCTCAGATGGAGGCGGCCCTGTGCCCCGTGGTTCCCCAGATGGAGGCGGCCCTGTGCCCCGTGGTCCCCCAGATGGAGGCGGCCCTGTGCCCCGTGGTCCCCCAGATGGAGGCGGCCCTGTGCCCCGTGGTCCCCCAGATGGAGGCGGCCCTGTGCCCCACGGTCCCCCAGATGGAGGCGGCCCTGTGCCCCGTGGTTCCCCAGGTGGAGGCGGCCCTGTGCCCCGTGGTTCCCCAGATGGAGGCGGCCCTGTGCCCCGTGGTTCCCCAGATGGAGGCGGCCCTGTGCCCCGTGGTCCCCCAGATGGAGGCGGCCCTGTGCCCCGTGGTCCCCCAGATGGAGGCGGCCCTGTGCCCCGTGGTCCCCCAGATGGAGGCGGCCCTGTGCCCCCCGGTCCCCCAGATGGAGGCGGCCCTGTGCCCCGTGGTTCCCCAGGTGGAGGCGGCCCTGTGCCCCGTGGTTCCCCAGATGGAGGCGGCCCTGTGCCCCACGGTCCCCCAGATGGAGGCGGCCCTGTGCCCCGTGGTCCCCCAGATGGAGGCGGCCCTGTGCCCCGTGGTCCCCCAGATGGAGGCGGCCCTGTGCCCCGTGGTCCCCCAGATGGAGGCGGCCCTGTGCCCCGTGGTCCCCCAGATGGAGGCGGCCCTGTGCCCCACGGTCCCCCAGATGGAGGCGGCCCTGTGCCCCACGGTTCCCCAGATGGAGGCGGCCCTGTGCCCCACGGTCCCCCAGATGGAGGCGGCCCTGTGCCCCTCGGTCCCCCAGATGGAGGCGGCCCTGTGCCCCACGGTCCCCCAGATGGAGGCGGCCCTGTGCCCCACGGTCCCCCAGATGGAGGCGGCCCTGTGCCCCACGGTCCCCCAGATGGAGGCGGCCCTGTGCCCCACGGTCCCCCAGATGGAGGCGGCCCTGTGCCCCACGGTCCCCCAGATGGAGGCGGCCCTGTGCCCCGTGGTCCCCCAGATGGAGGCGGCCCTGTGCCCCGTGGTTCCCCAGATGGAGGCGGCCCTGTGCCCCACGGTCCCCCAGATGGAGGCGGCCCTGTGCCCCACGGTTCCCCAGATGGAGGCGGGCCTGTGCCCCGTGGTCCCCCAGATGGAGGCGGCCCTGTGCCCCGTGGTCCCCCAGATGGAGGCGGGCCTGTGCCCCGTGGTTCCCCAGATGGAGGCGGCCCTGTGCCCCGTGGTCCCCCAGATGGAGGCGGCCCTGTGCCCCACGGTTCCCCAGATGGAGGCGGCCCTGTGCCCCACGGTTCCCCAGATGGAGGCGGGCCTGTGCCCCGTGGTCCCCCAGATGGAGGCGGGCCTGTGCCCCGTGGTCCCCCAGATGGAGGCGGGCCTGTGCCCCGTGGTCCCCCAGATGGAGGCGGGCCTGTGCCCCACGGTTCCCCAGATGGAGGCGGCCCTGTGCCCCGTGGTCCCCCAGATGGAGGCGGCCCTGTGCCCCGTGGTCCCCCAGATGGAGGCGGCCCTGTGCCCCACGGTTCCCCAGATGGAGGCGGCCCTGTGCCCCGTGGTCCCCCAGATGGAGGCGGCCCTGTGCCCCGTGGTCCCCCAGATGGAGGCGGCCCTGTGCCCCGTGGTTCCCCAGATGGAGGCGGCGCTGTGCCCCGTGGTCCCCAGATGGAGGCGGCCCTGTGCCCCACGGTTCCCCAGATGGAGGCGGGCCCTGTGCCCCATGGTTCCCAGGCGGAGGTGGGCCCGCACCCTAATGGTCCCCCAGATGGGGGCAGCCCCTGCACCCTCATGGCCCCCGCGGTGGAGGTGGGCCTCCACTCTGGTTGGTCCCATGGATGGTGGCAGTTTCCTCCTTCCCCCTTACGCTACAGAGCAGTGGTGACCACTTCTTGGGCGCAGTTGTGTCCCCAGTTTCCCAGTTAGTGGCCGTGTAAAGCCTCAGTTTCTTCATTTGCAAATGAGAGGTTAGGTGCCCAGAATTCATAAGAAACTTTCCTGCTCCTCATTCTCTCCTGAGGGTTGCCTGTCAGTTTCTATAGCATTCATATTGCAGGAGAGCTGCTGTAGATGGACTCAGAGACGATGGGCCCCTGGCGTGAGTGGGCTCCTGGCATGAGTGGGCTCCTGGTGTGAGTGGGTTCCCGGTGTGAGTGGGTTCCCGGTGTGAGTGGCCTCCTGGCGTGAGTGGGTTCCTGGCGTGAGTGGGCTCCTGGCGTGACTGCCTCCTGGCGTGAGTGCCTCCTGGCATGAGTGGGCTCCTGGTGTGAGTGCCTCCTGGCGTGAGTGGGCTCTTGGTGTGAGTGCCTCCTGGTGTGAGTGGGCTCCTGGTGTGAGTGCCTCCTGGTGTGAGTGGGCTTCTGGTGTGAGTGGGCTCCTGGTGTGACTGCCTCCTGGCATGAGTGGGCTCCTGGTGTGAGTGCCTCCTGGCGTGAGTGGGCTCCTGGTGTGAGTGCCTCCTGGCGTGAGTCGGCTCTTGGCATGAGTGGGCTCCTGGTGTGAGTGCCTCCTGGCATGAGTGGGCTCCTGGTGTGAGTGCCTCCTGGCATGAGTGGGCTCCTGGTGTGAGTGCCTCCTGGCGTGAGTCGGCTCCTCGTGTGAGTGCCTCCTAGCTCACTGTTAGGTTCTTTGTGCATTGCTGTAAAGAAATACCAGAGACTGGGTAATTTCCAAGATAGGAGTTTTAATCAGCTCTGAGTTCTGCAGACTACAGGTAGCATAGCGCAGGCATCTGCTCCTGGGGAGGCCTCTGGAAGCTTCCAGCCATGGCGGAAGATCAAGTGGGAGCCTGCGCGTCATATGGCGGAAGCAGTAAGAGAGTTGGGGGTGGGAGCTGCCACATACTTTTTAATGACCAGATCTCGTGAGAACTCACAGTCACCAGGACAGCACCGAGCCACAAGGGATCTGCCCCCGTGACCCACACCCCCCCCACCAGGCCCCGCCTCCAACACTGGGGATCACGATTCAGCGTGAGATTTGGCAGGACACAGATTTAAACTGTGTCACTCACTGAGGCTGGGCTGGGGCAGGCTGTTGGGAGCAGTCCAGTTTTTATCAGCAGCGGCTCTAAACGTGCCGTGGGTGGAAAAAGTCCTTTTCCACTATGCTGTAGGGTCCCTGCACTCATGCAGCCAGTACTGGACATGGTGGAGGGTTCCCCGGGCTCCCCACAAGTCCTGCTGTTTCTCCTAATGAGAGAATTCTTCAGGCAGAACATTTTTTCTGAGTTTAGAATGAAGCCCCAGGTTTTGGGCACAGAGGGTTTTTCCGAGGACTTTGAAGGAAATCTCCTAACACACAGGAGACTCAGGTGTGGAGCCTGTGGGTCAGCAGAGGTCCCGGACGGCATCTCTGGCGTGAGTGAGCTCCGCTTCGTCCTCAGTGCACCACAGCGAGTGCCTGCAGGCTGCTCTGAGTGAGGTGCTCCTTTCTGCCTCACTACAGGCTCATAGCAACAAGGGAACCAGCACCCCCTTTGTGTCCTGGAGAGTGGGGGGCACAGTGGCTGGGCAGGATGGCCGCTTCCTTACTGTGTGGTCAGGGAGGCGTCCTCAGCCCCCTGGGAACTTGTCCTCGTCTGGAACTGCACTGGGGTGTGGGACTGAGTTTGAATTCAGCAGGGGCTGAGCACCACGGAGCAGCTGGGAGGCAGGCCCTTCCTGTTGTGAGGTGCCCGCGATGAGGAAGTGGGAGTGGCGGTGTTCATACACGCGGGGCCTGTGCCGACACATACCGAGGTGTCGTCAGACTCTCCTCTTGCCTGGTGCCTCCTGGGCTGTTTCTATCCTTTGTAGACAAGCAGGTCTTTCAGGGGCACCCCCGTTGACCTGTAAACACCCAGTGACATCAGGTGTGGCTCAAGCTGCCAGGGTCTCCAGGAAGGTGTTGTCAGCGCTGGGGGTCCAAGTGCTGTTTGGAGTGCTTGTGACTTAATCAACCAGCATTACTGACTGGTGTTTAGGACAGCCACAAAGGGCAGCCACAGTACAGGGGACAGCCAGGTGGTTCCTGCCATTGGGATCTCACAGGGCAGTGCATAAGGACAGTGGAACCACATGATGGCAGCTGGCAGGTCTGTTGATCTTAACTCCAGGGTCAGGTGCTGGGAGAGTTTGTAAACAGTGGCCTCACTGGGGCTGGATGTTGGGGTGAGGATGTGACACCTCATCTGAGCTTGGAGGAGGAATGTGAGTCGGGGGTGGGCCGAGAGGGGACTGCACAGAAAGAAGTGTGGAGTCTGGAGGTGGAGAGGAGGGAGCCCAGGGGCTGAGGATGGAGGGAGGTGGAGAGGAGGGCGCTTCAGGGGCCGAGAATGGAGGGAGGCCGGGGCTGGTGGCGGCAGGAGGGTCTTGGGCACAGGAAGGCTGGACTTGGCCCTGAGTTCATCAGGTCAGTGCAGCACTCTCTGTGAAGTGTTGCCCGCACATGCCCACTGCAGGGCCTGCCTTGGCTCTGGCCTGCCTCACCAAACATGACCCATCCAGCCCCTCTGGATGAGCTCATGCTGGGCCTCCGGCCAGTTATTAGCATCTGGAGGAACTCCTGCTTTTGCAGGACGTATTGACACGACATTTATCGTGTCTTCTTCTTTATCTTAACTCGTGGCGCCGGGGAGGCAGGAGGTTTGCAGGGTGCTTGGCTTTCCAGCACAAAGAGGTGCTTCCCAGGGCCCAGGGCAGGCTCTGGCTCAGGAGACCTTGACTGCAATCTACTCGCTGCCTCCACTTAGTGAAGGGGTGACAGCAAGGTCCCGTGGGTCGTGAA